ATTTTTGTGCGTCCCTCCACATACTCTGCTCCCTCTTTTCCACTTCTTTGCTTTGTGTTGCTGCAGGCACACACAACCACACACACACAAGATGCACATTGCAGTGGATATGAATGCACCTTTTGTGGTGCATGCTGGCAGTTGCGTGTGGCGGCTGTTGTCTTCTTCCGTGGCCATGAGGAGGAGGGAGAGAGGGAGCGCAGCCCGAGACTATTTTCCTGTGGGTGTGATGCACCGCGTGTGACTGCGTTGAGTTGGTCTCCGTGTCCCATTGATGGTGGGATGGCAGGAAATTTTGTGCCGCGTGATGGATGGATGAGGGTTCGCCTGCTCCGTGTGCGTTGTGTGGTGGCCGCGGTTTTGGCCATTTCCCTGGGGCTGCGGGAATGAGCTGGGGGAGATGGTGGTGGATGTCTTCTCCTCCTGCATGGTGGGTGGCTGCTGGCGTTGTGTGCCTTCCTTGCGTGGATGCCGTCTCGTGGTGTGTGAACTGTGCGGCTGGGCCTGCTGCCCTCTCCTCATGTTGTCTGCGCTCTCGCTGTATCCGCTGTGCTCCGTCCCTCTCCCTCTCGTTCTGTTCTTTTCCTTTCCGTCTCACCGATCGGCTGACTGACACCAGCGACTCCACTACGGGTGACGATGACTGCGATGGTGACGGTGCGGCGCCGTGTTGGCCCTTGCGCTCTTGTGCTGCTGCTGCTGCTCGTCCGTGTGCGTGACGGCGACGGGAGACGATAATAATGATAACAGCCGTCCTCCCAGCCCCGAGCTAGGGAAACCGGATCCTACAAAAATATGCCTGGTGCATTACAACCATATGGTGTGGAGACCGGTGTGCCACAGACAGAGAGTGGGAGAGACAGCGAGGAGGGTTTGAGAAGTCAAGGACCTTCGTTGCCAAAGGAAGCAGGCACAGCCATCACTGGACAGACACGAGTTCCGCCAGAGTCACTGAGTTCGGCTAGCGATAATCCAGAGCCAGCAGGTTTGGCAACTCAGTCTCCACACACACACAAGGTGCGACCGGTATGTCAGATGCAAAAATAGAAGGCGCTGTAAAATACACGAGGCGATGAGAATCATAAGGCACCGACATCAAGTCAGAAGATCAAAGTGCCAAATAGTACCAACAATAAGACTACAACAACGCTCTGGGTTAGCCGGCCACCTCAACGTGGTGCCAGGGTGCAGTACTCTTTGCTAGAGAGGAAGCTAAGCGCCTGCTGCCCATCCGCTGCCAGCGGAGAGGTGAAAGGCGCCGCACAAACGGGTCGGAAGGGCACCAGATGGAGCCATTCACATGGCTGCCCGCGGAGCTGTATTTCTATCCGCTGCTGAATTCCATCGGCACTTATCAGCGCTATACATACCTTTTGCGTGCCGTATGTGACGCGCAACGACAAAAGCTACTGCTAAGCGGAGACATTGAGCGGCACCCAGGCCCCATAGCAGTACTTCAGATGAACGTTTCTTGCCTCACGCCGTCAAAACTCGCAACGTTAATGGCGCAAGGAGCAGACATAATAGCCATCCAGGAGACTTGGAAGTCGTCGGAGCAGATCGCCAGCTTGCACACTGGAGATTATGTGCTCTATGCACAGTCGCGCATCGGCAAGGGAGGCGGTGTGGCGGTGCTGGTGCGTACAACTCTCCGCTCCAAGCGTATACCTCTCACCATCCCCCAGCATGACACCAGCCTTGAAGTGGTGGTGGTCCAGGTTGCTCTGGACCAGAACCGTGATCTTATTGTAGCGAGTGCCTATATGAGACCACTACCGCAAATATCGCAATCCTTCAGGAGGTTAGTAAACTGCCTTCCAGCCTCGACGCCGCTCCTGCTGTGCGGGGATTTCAACATGCATCACCCACAGTGGGAGCCCTTCTTGGAGACTTCTCCAAGCGAGGTTGCCGCAGAATTTCTAGAACTGTGCACGGATGCGGGACTCACCTTGGTTAACACCCCTGGTGAGATCACGTATGCCCGTGGCACAGGAGAACGATCCTGTATCGATCTGACATGGTCAAAGCATTTGACTGTGTCGGATTGGTCAGCTTCCGTGTCGCCGCTTAGTGATCATTATATGCTGACATTTACGCTGCATCAGGCATTTAAGGATACCATACCTTCGGCACCTAAGTTTTTCTACAGTTGGGGGAAGTTCAAGTGGGATTCATTCGTCAAGGACTTCGACGCACAACTTCCGGCATATGACTATAAGAAGCAGTCCACCGGCATTAGGGCTTTCACGAGAGCGCTTATATCTTCGTATCGACGACATTGCCCCCGCGGCATGCACAAGGACGGTCCCAGGCTTTGGGACGACACTCTCATGGAGGCAGAGCGGATTGCTACTGACAGCAAGGCCCGCTATCTACAGTCACCGACGCCCGACCGTGAGGCAGAAATGCAACGGGCAAGGAGTCAATTCTTCCTCCTACTCCGAGAGCGCTTGCGCAACACGTATCTACGCCGCATCAGCAAGTTAAATCCAGGCGAGCCACTCGCACGGAAATACATTTCCGGACGAAAAAGGGCATCACTTCCGTCTCCCACATCAATGTTATTAGGAGATGGTCAACACACTTACAAAACAGCAAGGAGAGCAGCGATTGCTCTCAATCGCATCTTTTTTACATTTCACCCCTCTCACAAGGCAGTTAGGCCTTCCAAAGGCATCAACAGACAGAGTGCATCTTTGAACATTAATGCTTCTTTTCTTTTTGAGCCACAGAGCAGCAACGAGTTGATCTCTACATTTACATCAGGGTTTTGTCACTGCCCTCTTGATGCACCTTTTAATTCTACGGAACTGCTTGCTGCGCTACGTAATACGCCGTATGGCAAGGCCCCGGACCGGACGAAGTCTGCAGTGAGGCACTGCGACATATTTCGTCAAAGGGTCTTCGATTCCTTCTTCGTTGCATTAACCACAGCTGGACGACCGGTACGATTCCGGTTGAGTGGGGACGCGCTACCATCGTCCCACTCTTAAAACCCGGTAAGTCGCCGGAACTGCTTGCGTCATATCGACCCATCAGCCTTACTTCCATTGTGAGTAAGGTTGCTGAGAAAATGGTACTGAAGAGATTGCTTTGGGTGTGGACGCCACACCCACCAGTATGCATATCGTAGTATGCGTACTACGACGATGCAGCTGGCACACCTGATACACGAAGTGGAGCATAATAGAAATCACTATTTCAAAGTGAACCTTCCCAAGAAGAGCGGTGTTGGCAATCAACTCCACTACAGACCCCATCGGACCCTGCTGGTGCTGGTTGATTTCAGCAAGGCCTTTGACTCCATAGATCATCGGGTCCTCAGTCGCTTGCTGGCTAATATTCCGGGGGTGAATTGTAGAGGGTGGCTTAGAAACTTTCTATGTGGTCGCTACGCGAAGACACGAGTTGGTCACAGACACGGCGATCGGCGTCCCATGCTGCGAGGAGTTCCTCAGGGGTCCGTGCTGGGACCGTATTTGTTCTCCCTTTACGCACACCCACTTCTCAGTCTGCTGAACAGCTTTGCGGGTGTCACAGCAGACATGTATGCGGACGACCTCTCTATTATCGTTAAGGGGCAGTCCCGGGAAGACGCCATTCCCACTGCCAACATGGTTCTTAAAAAGCTGCATGCGTGGAGTCAGGAAAATGGCCTGGCCATCAACCCGTCAAAGTGTGAAGCTGCTTGGTTCACACTATCCATGCACACGGAGTCCGATTATGATCGTGAAGGAAGGTGGCCCCTGGTAGTGGCTGGATGTCAAACCCCAGTCATGACCATGGGGGCATCGCGAACTACGAAGCTTCTCGGCATGGATCTCGATCCACGACTGACGCTAAATGTGGCGGCCACCAAGCAATGCGCTGCCACTTCGCAACGGATATCGCAGCTACGCTGCATTACGCACAAAGAGGCGGGACCATCTCCACATGACCTACGCACGTTCGTCATTGGATACGGTGCCTCCAAATTACGCTATGACAGCGAGCTCATATGGGCAGTAGCGACGGATTCAGCGAAGAATGAGATGCAGAAGACGTACGCAACTCTGGCACGCATTGTCAGCGGAGTTCCGAGCACTGTCGACCCGGAATCCGCACTGCTGGAGGCTAATATGCCGCCGCTCCACGTCCTTTGCCTGCGCGCGGCTCTCAATATTTGAGAACACGCGCGCATGCCAGACGGACTGGATGCGGAGACCCCCGCCTGAGCCACCACCTCGCGCCGGTTTCCGCATCTCGCCATTA